ACAGGAACACTACTGCCTAATCCAACGAATTTACATACACTACTGGGTTCGAGTTCATAGGCTTACCAATGTTTCCATTGTAAAAACAGTAAAATAGTATAAAATAAAAATAGTTTGAACAGATAAATTAGCAAAAATTAGAAAAACAACTTGGGCTCTAATACCATGAATGCAAGAGCGGGATCAATAGCAGAAAAAATTGAAAACATAGAGTATACAAAATTTAAACTTTATTAATATTAAAGGAAAGGTACAGTGGATGTGCTTACAATAAAGATGACGGAAGAATAAAGGAAAAATATTACAAGTGAGAGGAGAGGGATGGAGTATAAGAGATAAAGGGAGGTGAAAAGAACCTGATGCCTGTAAAGTATAAGAGTTTCTAAATTTATAGAGTTTCAGATCCCTGGGTTACTAAACTTGAGTTGCTTTTCTTACAACTGTGGTTGGGTTACTTTTGATTTTTACCCGTGATTTCTTTCCCGTAGCTTTTGGCTTTGTCTGCCACAAGACTTGGCTTTCCCGTGACTTTTGGCTTTTTGGCTGTTAGTTTGTCTTTGTCATCTTTTTCTTTCTTCTTTCCACATTTTCTTTTTACTTTCAACTTATCTTTTATAAGCCTTTAATTGTTACTTTTTTCTATGTGTGATGAGTTGGAATTCTTTGAAGTTTACCCTATAAATGTCTTCTATATCTATATCTTCTTCTTGCTTTTAAGAAGATGGCCCCACATTTGAAGCTATCTATCATGCTTGTGAGGCCACATGATTAAGGAGAGAAGCCCACTCTTTTGCTTTTACTGCTATCAGTTGTGCCATTATCTTACTTTTTTTTAGCTTGGAAGGATGTTCATTCCATTGCCTTTTGGTTTATTTATTGTGGAATGCCCTTTTGTATTTTAGCAATCCACCTTATAACGGTTTCTTTGCTAGCAAATCTTTCTATATATTTATCCCACCATTTTACCTTAAATCTTCTAACTAGGTAAAATATTGAGGGACATGGCTATCTATCATTGGTTAATGCAAAATACCAACTCATAATCCATGATACTCTCATGTGATAAAATAACCAAAAGGGTTTTTCTATCTCTTAGAAATCACTTTTTTCTTTAAAGCATTCATACCCCTCTATAACCACAGGAGGTGGAATTTTCTTTATTGGTCCAAAAATATGAAACCATTCAAGGAACTATTTTGAAAAATTATTTGGACGCTTTTGGTACCAGAAAAACCAGGAGTGATTGTAATTTTTGTAATATAAAACATATAAAACAAAATTTTTAAATTTTTATAGATAAACAAAAAGAGTGGTCACATATTATATATATATATAACATATATATTTATATATTCTACATTTACTTTAAAATATGATTTTAAATATTTACATTGATGAGTTAGCATCTTATTTTAAGTGATCAAAGATGTATTGACTTGAATTTTAAAGGTGTATTCTATTTCAAATTTTAAAATTTAAAACTACTCATAATAATTGTTTATATTAAATATAATTCAAATTTTCAAAGTTATTTAAATTGATCTCACATATAAAATATTTTAGTGGGAGGTTACTAGAAAGTTATTAAATTGATTAAGTAATGATTATTTTAGTATGTATCCTTTAGAACGTCACATATCATTTATGTGTACTCCAAATTGTGACACATGTCCCTTTTCAAGTACTTTAAATTGTGCCACATCCTTTTTTCAAATCGAACAATAAATACTCTATTTAAAAAAATTATAATCTAAAATAAATCATAAATGAGTTGGTTAAAAAAGATTCTAAGTTTAAAAAAGAATATTATTTTTTATATTTATTTGAGTTTAAAAATTATATAATTGATAATATTTAATATAATTCTGTGGATATCAAAAAAGTTTATTTGAATTTCAAAATTTTAATCAACATAGTTATGAAAATTTATAGTTTAGATAAGATTGTCTTATTCAAATCAAATTTCCCTCCCATTTAGATATTATGCCAATTATAAATAAATGGTGTTGCATACTATTTCTTTTTCAAACTTATGAATTTGATTAAGGGTTAATGAGTGATGTCGCTCTAAACGCTAACTAATATTAACTTTGAATGTTAGTTAAATATAAAATTATAGGAAAAGATTTAAAAATATAGACAACACCAAAAAATAAATACAATGACCAACAACAAATTTTTGGTCTCTTTTCCACAACTTTTAATGTCCTTTTCAGTTTTAAAGTTATCATTTATTAACTATAGGAGATAATATTGTATTATTTTTAAAAATTAAGCAAAAACATTATATAAAAAATGAGTTTAGAATGTAAATTTGTCATTCAACTCTTTAATTAATTTTGGAACATTCTCGAGTTTATTTTACATGACTGATTTATATTTATTATTCTTCAAGTGAATATGTGATTTGGAAGTCTAGTTTGATTGTCGGTTTATGGTTATGTCCAAACTCAATTTTTAAATATTTATGCATATGAAACAAAAAGAATGATTACCGTATATCTTCCAAAAAAAAAAATATTTTTATTCATCTTCATCTATATTTAAATCTTTAAAACTCAAATAATTATGGAATATTAGAATTTGATGAACTTTCATAAAATTCAATATTATTGAAAGGGTAAGATATTGATTGTTTCTTATGTGAAGTTTAAATTTAAAGATACTCATATTTTTCAATTAAATAATGTTATTTATACTTGCTTATTAAAAAATAGTATTAATTAATTTAATGATATAAGTGTTGCCCTCAAAACATATAAAAAATTTATTATCACATACTATGTTATCCCCATATAAATTTAAATTTTATTTTTTATTTTATAAATTTTATTTTATAAGCAACAGCTTGCTTTATTTTAGGATGTTATTTTTGTGCATAGGAAAAACATAAATAACATGCTTATCTATATCAAGAATTTATTGAACAAAATGTTTTATTTTGACACGAATAAATTAAAAATTTGTTACTCTATTCATTTTAAAATACAAAGAATAATTTATTTTTGCAAGACGTGTGTTATCCCAGAATAAATTAATATTAAAATTTAAACAACAAAATATTATATTTTATAATTTTTCACTTAACTTTATATTTTATTCTACAATTTATGATCTTGTACATATAAAATTAAAAGTAATAAATTATTTTCTTTAAAATATTTTATTAAATTAATTTTATTTAGATTTTTATATTTTAAGTAAATTAAATTTTGAAATAAAACTCATAATGTGAGTTTTATACATTATCTAAATAAAATTTGTAACTTCATTGCATATCAAGCACTTATTATTTTTATTAAAAATATTATACCTAAGGGTGATCAGAGGTATGTTTTAGTTTAGTTTTAATCATAACATGAACCAAATCAAAACAATCAATTTGCACAAAGAATGACACTTGATTGGTTTTTATTGAGGTTGGCTTGGTTTAATTTTTGGGAGGCTTGGTTCAGTTTGGTTCATATATGGATCAAGTTTTAAAATATTTTTGACTCTTTTTTTCTTTTCATATTCCAAAATCAAGTCATATTCTCAACTTTATTATTTATGAATGAAAATCAATATCATATCGAAAAAAATATTCAAATTTTGTTATTAATAAACATAAGAGTATATGCATTATAAGTAACATTAACACGAGTTAAATTTTATTACAAATTATTTTAATATCTACAATGAAAAGAAACTTGTTTTAAATTAATAAAAAGGAAACATGCTTTAGTAACAAGTCATGAAGTACTTGACTTTCCTCAATCAGTAACAGCAATGCACCTCTCCTTAATCTGAACCATCTTTTACTCTAAAAGCAATTAGCAAAATTGAGAAAAATAGTGCTAGAGATTCTATTAAAGTATTTTGGGCTTGGGCTTGGACTGGACTTTGGTTGAGATTAAAATTTAAAAATAATAAATACTAGTTAATAGTCTAATATTAGTTATAAGAATACACTTAAAAATATAACAAAAGGTATGGTTTAGATTTGGTTAAAGTTTCAAAGAAAAAACCAAAACTTGAACCAAACCATTTGATATTTTATTTTATAAAATCAAACCAAATCTTACCAATGATCGGTTTTATTTGGTTTTAATTGGGTCATGTTGGATTGGTTTGGTTTGATCAGTGTTGCTCACTCTTAATCATATCTACCATTAATTTTTACTATAGATCCCATATGATCTTTTAAAATACAAAAATTCCTAATATTTTTTACTCTTTGTCTAAATTTTTAACATTTACAAATGAATATTTATATAGAAAATTTTTTACCCTATGTAAATAAATTTTATTAATTAATTATGCATCCCACAATCACCTCACAATTTTTCTTTCTGGTTACTCCTAAGAATCCTTCTATTGAAAGCAAATCCAATTCAAGTTACTGTTCTCACATTTATTTACTATGAGTCTCACATTTATTTACTATGAGTCTCACATTCATATTTTTTAACAAAATTATTCATTAATTATTTTTTAAACAAAATAAAAAAAAAAGAAAAACACACTCTTCAAAGCACTATCTGCACTGCCTGCACTGCCTTGACATTGTTCTTTACTATGTAAATTAGATTAGATATTTGATTACACATATTAGATTAGATGTTACAGAAGCATTTATTTCAGCTTGTTTTATAAATCATTTATTTTTTTAAAAAAATTATTTCACAAATTTTAATGAGGTTTGTTTAAACTTTTACATAAACAGTAGATTTTATTTTAAAATTTTTTCTCTATACACTTTGCATTTTTTTAGTCATTCCAATACTTAATTGTTGATTTTAAAAACTGCGTAAATTAAAATTACAGCTTATAATATTATAAAATTTAAAAAATTAAAAATAAAGTTTAAATTGTGGAGATTTTAAAATGCTTAAGAGTAGGGTTATTTGACCATTACCATTGATTATTGATTATTCAATCTAACAACAGTAACAAACGGCTCCTCTTTTGTTCTTTTTTTTTTTTTCAAATAAACGGAAAGAACATGACTCCTCATTTTCTCTCACATAACTCTGCCGCTCCCGAGACTACCACCGCCTCTCATCACACCCGTGTGTTGATTTCTCTCGCAATCTCAGTGCCTCTCAGACCCACATCTTTCACTTTATTGATTTCTCTCTCAATTTCCTCTGCAAGACCAGAATTCAGAACTCCAACCCTTTGGCAATGGAAAGGCACAAAGAGCATTCTGAGGGTTCAAGACGCCGATTTGTCATTCAAGAGATTTCGCCCGTTCAGCAGAAGAGATCCCGAGCCCTAGGTGCAACCGAATTCAGAATACCTGATGAGGCAAGAGGTACTTCATCGGGGCCATATGTGTTCCGAACTTCAATACGAGAGAGAAGCCTGAAGGGCAAGAATTCACCGATCTCTTTCGCCTGGTCACTAGAGCCGCTAATTATGAGCGGTTGCTGAAGGAAAAGAAACAGAGAAGACTTCATCTAGGTCTCAAATTTGTTGGTGTCGCTCCTTCATCTCTCTCGTCATTTCGCTCATTCCTGGCTCCTCCTGCAGATTGCTCCAGTAAGGGTTTCAAGTTTCTCATGGGGGTTTTTGTTGATTTGGGTGAAATATGTTCTACGGTCTCTGACTTGATGATTTCTTTCTTACAAATTCTAGCATCTACCGTATAAGTCTCCTTTTAAACCTGTTCTAGATTTCGCTGTATTATTGCACTCGAGAATTCGCTCCTTTTCAGCTGTTCCTTTTCCTTGGAAGTTTCTTTTCTTTTTCTTGTCATTCATTTCTTTCTTTTTGGCCCATTGGCTTGTTAATTGCTATTCTAGTTGTGTTATTCTTCGGATTTGCAAGAATTTCCTCATAGCTTGCTATGTGTTTCTTAATCATTACCCGAATCAGTTTTATTTTAGGTTCTGTTTGGTTCAAGGGGAGGAAGGGGGGAGGGGATGGAGGTGAGTGGGGAGGAGCGGAGGGGAGGGAAGGAGAGAGGAGGGGGAGGGGAGGGGGCATCCCCCCAATTTGGGGGGGGGGGGGTCCCCTCCCCTCAATTTCCCCTCCCCTCCCCCCCCCCAACCAAACATAAGGTTAGTTTAATTGTCTTCTCTGGTCTATTTTGATTCATTACTCTTTTAGTTCTTTTGTTTTAGCGCTTCATAAATCCTACTAGAGGCATGTTAATTTGTTAGAATGGGGCCTTATAGGATTTTCCTTTCTGTAGAGGATGCTAAAGGCTCCCATTAGTGATGTGTTTTCTTCTCATATGGGATCTTGGGAACGTGTTTCCGATTCAAATCTAAGATTCATGTTTTATTGCTCGTTTATTAGGCTTATGTTGTATCTCCGTAAGGCCGTAATGTTCTATTCTTCTGGGCAGGTTGATGTGTTATTCTGTTTTGCATTTTGGAGTGACGTGTATTCAATTCTCTTGCCGGACTTATTTATCTGTAGACATCCAAATTATTTGGTTACTTGAACTTTTGTTTTTTTGCTGGATAGTTTATATCTCATATTCATTTTATGGGAACTTAGAACAAAATCTAGTTTATTTTCCATTGAAATCGCATGAGTCCTATGTTTCTCATCCAATCCATGCTTTGTTATCCCTCTGAATGGATGTCATATGCTTTGATCCATCTGGGCATTTGATTTAAGCGAAACAAATTATGAACCCAAAAAAAAAAAATTACACTCAATGAAAAATGCCTTATGTTGCATTTTTGTCTTCTTTTTAAAAGTACTGGGAATGGCGATGGGTGTTTGTTGAATGAAAATTTTCTACTTTGGTTCCTAAATGTGTAATGAATGCTTGTGAAGTTGCTATGGAGTTTATTTGTCAGTTACTTAAAAAATCACCTTTCATTTAAAGTCATTGAAAATACTGTGCGGAGTTTACTTTCCACTATTTCTCTGGTGTTTATATACATTTAATGGGCCATTTTGTGATGGGGATGATTGTATTAGTTTCTTAAATCTTGCAGATTAAGCTTGTTTGCAATTAAGTTTCCTCATTTACTTTGCATGTTTTCACAGAAGTTTTACTTATTCTTAAGCTGACTCCCTCTATTTGATCCATTCAGCCCATACGGACTTGGAAAAATGGAAGTTATAGGTGGCTGAGTCTTGCTAAGTTCTATGGCTTGCCCAAGGAAGTCTACCAAGGTATGTTTGCTGTATTTTTAAAACTATTTGTAATTGTAATTATTTTGCCTAATTTGAATGGTGCTCCATTTGTGCTTTGGTATGTTTGGTTGCTTAGTTTCTCTGCTATATTTATACTCAGCCACAATACTGTATAATGCATGTAGCATTAATGCATTAAATGGTGGACCATATATTTATTTATTAAGCTATGCAAACAGAGAATGCATCTCGAGTAATATAAGTTATGACAAGGGAAAGAATAAAAGTAGACAGATAAAAACTTCTTGTTTCTCTGGGCTTTATGTCGTAGTCTCAATGGCAGAGCTATTTGTAATTGAGGAACCCCCTCAAATTTTGAAGCCTCTATGGGTACAAATCTTCATCTCATGTCCCCCACCCTTATAATTTGAACCGCCTGCTGTTTGGCTTTGGCTAGCTTCAGTCAATTTTCTTTGACAAATAGGGATAAAGTTTGAGATCTGATTGAGAAGCTAACATTAGGGAAGGGATCAAAAGTAGCTGATATGAGAGAAGGGAGTTTGGTAATCTATGTGGAGCATTGTTTTGGGTAACGATGATTTATATTTTAAGTTGTATGATTTATGACTTTGAAAAGATTTTGAATTGTATTTGAATATTATTATCAATTATATTTTTGAACCATTTATCTTTTATTTTTTGACTAAAACATTTATTTAAGTTTCATATATTTTAATGAAATTATTTTATTTTTATATGCATTTGTTTGAATTATTAGTTTTCCCATAAATAGTTTAAATTATTAATTTAAATTTGTATTGTTCTTAGTTAATTTCAATTGTTATGTCATAACATGATTAAATATAAATGGATTTGTAATTTTTTCAAGAAACTAAATAGAAAATAGCTTTAACTCATTTGTACACTGGTAAGAAATTAGAACCTTGTTAACATTGTTTGAAATTTATGAAAAAGGTGAACTAATTATTCAAAAAACTACATTGAAACTAATCTCACCATTGAATAATAAATAACCATTTATAAAATTAGCAATAGTGGCTTGCTCTATTTTTATACAATATGGTTATTTAAAATATAAGAGCAAATGGTTATTATAGAAGTAATAATATTCTCTTAAAATATATGTATGATTTTTTTTTTAAAATCAAGTGTACCACATCTTCAATCTTCAATTATAATAAATTGTGGTGAATATAAGATATTTACTATGCGCTATAAACCATATATATTTGTAAAATTTTTATACAATTATTTATTTTTAAAAAATATGTTGCACTCCTGTTCTCAAGTCTTGACTCCATTAGCCTGCTAACATTGATAAATGATAACTTAGCTAATGTATTTAATGTCTTTTTATGGACTCGTGATTAGTTGTGCTCAGTATGGAGATAATCATTTTAGTGACCAAAGTATACTGTCCTGTTATAATATTATCTAAGCTTTTGTGTGTGAAAAATATACCATGTGGAAGGGGGGAGATTAATCTTTGTTACTCAAAGAAGGTATTCCTAATTCTCACAAATAATAAATAAGTTATTTTTTAAAAAGTTATTAAGTGATCAATATCATCAATATTTAAAAACAAAAATTAAAACTGTGTGTGTGTTTTTTTGTTTCATCACCTTTCACTAGTCTCCATGGCTGCATAAAAACCTCAGCTTCCAAGTTTTGTGAGATATGACGCTATGGTAAAAGTCATCCATGAGACTAACATAACGGAGACCAACTTCTTTGTAATTTAGATACACCAAACGGGCAATCTCTGTTGTATGTCACAAGTTCGTACTTTCCCTTTATGTGTGTGTGTGTGTGTGTACATCATATTCCATCCAATACGTCATTCACAACACTTTTTTTTTTCTTTTTTAACCAAATAATTCACTCACAAATCATTTCTTGCTCAAGGAAAATGGTGAAATGACTGAGCAAGATAACCTACCAAATATCGATGGTGAATGCAATCAACTAGAAGTTTCTAATTGTATTGATGAGATATATCAGTACTGTTGAATTACTGATGTTAGATTCATGATTTTTTTTTATGTGACCTTTTTTTTCCTTTTATTGCTTTTCTACTGCATGAAAAGTTCGTAACTTTCTTTCTTAAGATGCTTATCCCTTTATCTTCCCCCCCTTCTTGTGCCATGTATATTTCATGATAGATTTCACCATCTCAAATTGAAATAATAAAGGACTTTTGAATAAATTTTTAAATTTCGTCAAATTCCTCCAATTTCAATTTGTTTTCAACTACAGTCACGAACTCTGACTTTTTGCATGGAATTTATGAAAGATTTTATATGACATTTGGGACTTTGGATACTACATAATGAAATTTATCGTGGATATTCTTATATATAACATTTTTTTCATCGAAAATGTATTTCTTTTATTTTTTTTTTCACTCACATGAGAAGAGCTGTCTTTATTTTGCTGGGTTCCTTTGCTTGAAAGGAAGTGATTCTGCTTGGGAATTTCATTCATTTTCTAATAGATTTTGTTTGTTAATGTTTTTTTAATTGTTCTGGTTTGGCTTTTGGTGTTGAAATTGTTTATTAACTTATATTATTTGTATAAATAAAATTTCTTGTACCAGTTGATAATATGTCATATTTTGTTATTATGATTTGTTAAAAAATGTTGTGTATTGAATTATTATTTAAATGATTATGACATTTAAAATTAAACATGAAGCAAGCCGGCATAAGGAAATATATATATATATATATCTGTTTAAAATAAACCCACGGGAGTGTTTCTAGTAAGACATGATCCCATCGGGGTACCATATGGGTCGGAGGGTTTGAGGAATTACTAGCCAGGGAGCATGAAGGAAAAAAATCGTGAAACATAGACAAGCAATTTTAGTTCAATAGCCAAACGAAGATTAGGGTTATATATCCAAACTTGGTCGAAATCCTTGTGAAATTTGAAATTGAGAAACATGAAGAAGAAATTGAAGCGCAGGAGATTGTATCCAGTGGTCTTGCTCTAGACAAAAGGGATAGTTCTTTTACAGTTTTCATGCACAAACCCTATCTTGATTTTATTGGTTGTCTTTACTATCCAAATCATGTGACATTTTCTTTGAAAACATTTTGTCATCCTTTGTTACCTATGATTCATGTTGTGCTGCACTTGCACAATTGATTGCAAAAGAAAATATTACCATGAGGGTTCCATTTGAGTTTCAGGACTATTCTTGACCTTTTATCTTGGATCCATTGCCCTTTGATCCCAAGCCACTAGATAATTCAAGAGGGATTGTTCATGCGGAGCATTTGTTGAAGGATAGCATGTTGGTTGTTTGATGCCAAACCTTCAACTTCCAAGTGCTTGAAGCGCTTTAAATTAGGTTGTATTCTCTCCTTCACTTTTACTTTTCCTATGGAATATTGCTGGTTGATTTCTGTAATTGGGAATTGTCTAAGTGTGGGGGCGGTATCTAGTAGCAAAAAATAAAAAATAAAAAAAAATTCCATTGCACTTATTTGCATTGCATTTAGGTTTTGCCATTTTGAAGCTTTCTTTCGCTTAGGTTTGCATTCATTTAGATTGATAAGTCTGTTTGCATTACGGGCAATGTAACATTTAAGTGTGGAGGGAAGTGTGTTTTAGATCATTTTGCATGGTTTTTGAGTTGGCCAAAATTTTTGAAAAATTTGAAGATTTTCTGATTCTGTTTTTGAAAAAGCTTCGGAAAATTAAATGAAAAGTTTTGTTTTGACATAAGAATGCTTAGTTTGATGAGATTGCCAATGAGATTTGAAGTGTTAGACTTGGATGTTTCAAGTGTAGCTAGTATAAGATAGAATGTTCTACTTGGTTTGCTTGAGATAGGGGATAACATAGCCCTGATGGAAGGTTATTTTGAGCCTATATTGATCCCTTTTTAGTGTGCCTTATCCACTTATTCCACTTCATTCTTCAGAACTTGTCCTAATTCTTTATCAAATCTACTTTTGCATATGCATTGTGAAGATGATTAAGGCATTCGTATAAAATAGCCAATCTAACCAAATGGCCAACCTAACATGATTATATCCTTTGCTAGCCACTTTGGGCCTGTCGGTTATGTTCTTTCATTCCATTCAATATTTACACCCTCATGTTTTCTAAGAATGCATGTTATACTATATTGTTTTGATGGGATTCATTTGCATATCCAGTATTCAAGTTATGGATATTTTGAGTTGTATTGAATATTTGGTATGAGTTGTGAATGAATTCAAGGTGAAAGCCAAAATGATTGTTCTGCAACAACTAGGAAAAAAAAAAAAAGAAAAGAAAATGAGGAGAAAGCCAAGACAAGATTGTCAAAAAGAGAAGAAAGAGGCAATAAAAATTTGAAAAAAATGTAAAAAAAGAAAGAAAGGAAGAAAGAAAGCAAAAAAAAAAAAAAAAGAAATAAAGAAAGGAAAAGAAAAAAAGAAACAAGAGTTATTGCTTGCTTAGTTATGAATCACCCTGCTCTTAATTGATAGCATTGTTGTATAATTTCCATGTCTTGAACCTAGTTTATGCTTATGAATCCCTTGTTATCAGTTTGCTGGATAAATGTGATGTGTTATACTCTTTTCCTTTCCACATGCATTCTTAAATCCACTTTCCGCTCTTTGCATTACAGCCTAATGAAAGACCTTTTGATTCATGTATGCATTGTGTTAATAAGTGTTGGAGATTTAGAATTTTTACAAGCCTATGGTGGAATGATTGGATAAGTGGACTTGAGTGAAAATTTACCCCTAAACACTAGCGAGTTGAGAGTAAACACTTTTCTCTGTGTGGTTATTTTCCTATCCAAGTTCACTAAGTTTGCATTCTGAAAATTCTGGTTGCATGAGAATCATTTAAGGTTGAGCATGGGCAATTGAATTGGCATAATTATCATTTTGAGCATGATTAACTAATTTATGCTTTCCCAGTTTTTCTTACTTTGTTGTTGAAATTGGATTTTTGATTTGATTTTGCGCCGGAGTGCAATAGCTAAGTGTGGGGGATTTTGATGAGTGATATTTCATTCCTACTTTTCACCCTTATTTTCGTTGGTTTTTGTCACTTAATCTTTACAAAAAACAAGTATCTTAGAGACCTTTTTTTAAATCATTTGAGTTATGATTTTTGGATTTTCAAGGGTTAAAAATGAAAATATTGAAATTTTTGGGCCAAACTTGTAATTTTTAAAAATGTGTTCCAAAAATTCCCCAATTTTATTCTATTTAATATGTTTAATTTGGTAACATACGAGGGGGGTTTAAATATGTTCTTGAATTCTATTGTAGAGTTTAGAAGATGTACTTGATGCCTAATTTCAAATGTTCATGGATTTTTTTTAAGAATTTGAGTCTCTTTTGGTGAATGAGCTCCTCCACTAGAGCACATTCAGGAACTGTTTAAAATCATTGAAGGGCAAGCTGATTTAGATGCACAGTTTAATATAAGTGATTTTTTTGAATGGTTGTCTGAGGAGTTTGTTCATTTTTCTAAAATTGGAATTGATTTATTTTTATTTTTATTTCTATCTGGGATCCATTGCCCATTGATCTCAATCCATTGGATAATTCAAGAAGGATTATTGATGTTGAGCATATCTCGGAGGATTGCATGTTGGTTGTTGGAGATCACACCTTCAAAGGATTATTGATGTTGAGCATATCTCGGAGGATTGCATGTTGGTTGTTGGAGATCACACCTTCAACTTCAAGTGCTTGAAGCGCTTTAAATTAGGTTGTATCCTCTCCTTCACATTTACTTTTCCTATGGAATGTCGCTGGTTGAGTTCTGTGATTGGGAATTGTCTAAGTGTGGGGAGGTATCTAGTAGGAAAAAAATTCATCCATTGCATTGAGTTTGTGTTGCAGTTAGGTTTTGTCATTTTGAAGCTTTCTTTCCCTTGTTGATCTAACTGTGGGGAGATCCATTGCGCATTGATCTCAAGATACTGGATAATTCAAGAAGGATTATTAATGCTGAGCATATCTCAAAGGATTGCATGTCTCAACATCAAGTGCTTGAAGCGCTTTAAATTAGGTTTGTATCGTCTCCTTCACAATTACTTCTCCTATGCAATATTGCCGGTTGATTTTTGGGCTTGGAAATTGTAGGCATCTAGTAGGAAAAAATTCATCCATTGTATTGAGTTTGCATTGCAGTTAAGTTTTGTCATTTTGAAGCTTTCTTTCCCTTAGGTGTTGCATTCATTTAGGCTGATGAGTCTATTTGCATTGAGGGCAATGCAACATTTAAGTGTCAGGGGAGGTTTGTTTTAGGTCATTTTGCATAGTGTTATGAGTTGGCCAAAGTTTTTGAAAAAATTAAAAATTTTCTGATTTTATTTTTGAAAAAGCTTTGGAAAATTAAATGAACAGGTTTGTTTTGATATAAGAATGCTTAGTTTGATGAGATTGCCAATTAGACTTGAAGTGTAGCTAGGATAGGATAGAATGTTCTACTTGGTTTGCTTGAGCCAGGGGATAATATGGCCCTGATGAAAGGTGTTTTTGAGCCTATATTGATTCCTTTCTAGTGTGCATTATCCACTTATTCCATTTCATTCTTCAGAACTTGTTCTAATTCTTATCAAATCTACTTTTGCATATGCATTTTGAAGATGATTAAGGCATTTGGATAAAATAGCCAATCTAGTCAAATGGCCAACATATCATGATTATATCCTTTGCTAGCCACTTTGGGCCTATTGATTATTTTCCTTCATTCCATTCATGATTTACACACTCTTGCTTTCTACGAATGCATCTTATGCTATATTGTTGAATGTATTGAGTCTCTTCGGTGAACATGGTCCAACTTGAGCTCATGTAGGAATTAATTGGAATCATTGAAGGGCGAGCTGACTTATACTCACAATTTAATGTAAGTGCTTTTTTTTCGTAATGGTTATTTGGGGAGTGTGTTCATTTTTTAATGTCAGTTGATTTATTTCCATTTCATTTGGAATTGTTTTAGGGTTTAGGGTTTAGGGTTTCTCTATTCTTGTTGTGCCCTTCTTCCCACTTTAAATTTGACCTGTCTTTGGAAACGGGAGTAATTTGCATTAACTACGTATTAAGCTCTAGGCTTCATGTTGGGGGAAAATTTTAGGATGAATATTATGGTTGAATGGGTGGATGATGTCAAAATGATCATGTTGAGTAGTTGACTTATGTCTTGGAATGTTATCTAATGATACCCAGATAAGAGTTCAAACTGCATATGTTTTGATTCAGGTGAAATGGCACTGACGTTGACTTTCATTATTTATAATGGTTAGTCTTTAACCTAGTGAGGAGTTGAGCCTACTTTAGGATTCCTTTCTAGTGTGTATTCAGCTATCAAGATTTTCACCCTAGAACTTGTTTTTATTCTTTGTTGATGCCATATTTGCATGGCTTGCATAAAAACGATCAAGTCATTCATTTCATGATTAACTAGTTGGCCAAAAAGCTAACCTTGATGCATTATATTCCTTGTTAACTCCTTTGATCCTTTGTTTACTTTCTTTTTGAAATCCATAACCATTTTTGTAAACAATAATTTTCCCACCTTGTTAGGATATTTTAGAGGTTCATAAGCATTTATTTTATCTAGCCAAAATCCTCTCAATGATTGACTGAATAACAATGAAATAAAAGAGAATATTCTGTAATCTGTTAAATAATTACGGAATATAATGATACAATCAAAAATAGAGAAACTAGGGTTTTTTTTTTTTTTAACGTAAATGGGCCTAGTAAACAAAATGTGAGTTTGCTAAGTAGCATGTATCACAACGAAAATCAAACTTCATTTTATTAATGGAATTGGGAAACAGTTTTCATATGATCAAAACCAGGATTTACTTAATCTGGAATTCTATAACAGAAGGTCTTTCTGAGACATAACTGAATAACTTGTAGCCTTCCCTTGAGGAGTTGCCTTCATCTTCCCCAAAGCGATGCCCTGAAAATTATAGCTAAATTTGTTAAAAATAACAAGGCAATGTAACTGATAGGCAGTACACTTTACCTACTACAGGTTGCGTTGTTTGTCAAGCACAACATTTTTGATAGCGACCTATTTCCATAACCATGGCATAACAAGAGTATGTTCAGGGAAAGGATTGAATTTAGAGAATAATTCTCTAAAACTAGTAATGTGATGTGTGGCACTAGAATTAACCACCCAAATATTTTTTCACCATAGAACCATGCTTAGGGTAGTAGCAAGAGCTGTGTCATATCAGTATAATTCTGATATAGAGAGAGATAGAGGAAAGAACGGAGAGAAGAGAGAGTTAAAGAGAAAAAGAGAGACATGAGAGAAATTCACTCATAGTATGAGTAACCTTGTTGATATCATAGCATAAAAGGATATGAGGTATTTCTTAGTATTTTTAGACTTCTAATCCCTCTAACTACCTGATGGCTATTTTACTTAAGTAACTCTAACTAGCTAACAATAACTAACCTTTCAATATTCCTAAGAGACCCTTCCCCTTAAGGGTTGTGTACGTCCATTTGAGGGAACTTTTGCTGAAATGTTGAAAAGAGAGCATAAAACTCTTAGAAGCTTCTGTTCACTGTTGTTAATTCTGTTCATTGCCACTGTTAACTGTTGATGCCAGAATAAATAGCAGAATTCATTCAAATTTGACCCTAAGAGCATTGTGATTAATCCTCTTTTGTACCAAATCAAAAATTGCATTTGCTATTTCGTGAAAATTGCAACTCTTGACCCGTAGTTATAAATTATCGGTTTATCTGGTCTTTGATTAGTTTGTTTGTCAGTTTTGGGTTTGATCCAGACCAGACCAAGAGCTGGTTCTCAGTTCAACTGGTTGAAACAACTAGTTTAGTTTGGTTTTTAAAACATTAGTTTTTTTGATTTGTGCATCGCACATTGCCTTAAAACACTCTAAAGCTTCTAGCTTATTGGTTGATTCAGTGGAATATTAAAAATTAGGGGGAAGACCAAGTTGACAAACATTTTGATTGACTTTAAAGATAACAAAAATGTCTTTTTTTTTTACATTTTAGTGACTGGTTCTTTCATGTAGTTTCTTTCCACGTCTTGAAGTTCTTCAAAATGTTCTCTCGCAAAGTGGCTTGGTCATGATGTCGGCAATTTGATCTTTTGAAGGTATATAGGCCAAGTGATGTAAAACACACACACTCACATTGATTTGAACAGAATAGGATGAGGAAAAGAAACAGAGAGTGAGAGGTGAAGGGGGAGGGAAAACAGAGGGGAGAGATGACAGAAAACAGAGAAAGCAGGGGAAGTGGAGAGGGACGCAGAAGGGGAATAGAACAGCAATTCATTCCAACTCTTAGAACTCCCTTACATGTGCTGCATGGTGGCTTTTTATAGAAGCCACAATTAAGGTTTCCTTCTTATGAAGGAAACATAAAATGAAATAAAATATAAGTTTGAGGTTTCTTTCCCTATAAGGAAAGCTCAACTTGCAGATTTAAATAAAGAGTAGAACAAACAAAAGCAGGTCAGGTTTCCTTCCTTTAGAAGGAAACTTACAAAATACTAAATAATGCAAAAACAATTATTTCTTTCTAAAATAACATTTGCCATATTTTCTATCAATTCTCCCCTGCTGCAAAGAACTCTCCTCCGGAGAGGTAGAGAGTTGATAGGCTTCTAGCAAGGCAGGATTAAGTTGTTGGAATTCATCTTCTGAAATCCAGGTGGCATCTTCATCAGATCGACCTCTCCAACGAACCAAATAACGACGGATGGGCCCCTCAGAGGTAAAGACCATTTGATCATCCATAATGGTCTCGATTTCATCAACTGATGGTGTGACAGCAGGCAATGATGGAATTGGCACTTGTGAAGGCTGAGTACCTGCAAAATCATCAGAAAGCAAAGGGGAAGGCTCAAAAGTTCCCCGGTAAGGCATAAGATCCTCTACATTAAAAACTGGACTAATGGCCATATCAGAAGGTAGTTCTAAAAGATAAGCATTAGGTCCTAATTTCTTTATTATGCGAAAAGGTCCCGCAGCTCGAGCATGCAACTTTTTAAAAGCTTGTTTAGGGTAACGTTCTGGACGAATGCGAGCCATAACATAATCACCTATTTCGAAGCTTTGAAATCGACGATGAGTATTAGCAGATAATTTATATTGATCATTACTTGTCGCTAATTTGCGCCTAATTTCAGCATGTAAGTCATGAAGGCGATTGGCAAAGGATTCCGCAGATTCAGAAATGCAAATGTCAACGGGATTGGCAGGAGGTCAATAGGCTGTTTAGGATTAAAACTTTGAACAATTTGGAAGGGACTCATGCCTGTAGACCTATTCACTGAATTATTATATGCAAACTCTGCAGTGGGTAGAACCAAATCCCAGTTCTTCGGCCTGTCTCCAACTAAACTCCGAAGCAAATTACCCAAACTGCGATTAGTGACTTCAGTTTGCCCATCAGTTTGAGGGTGAAAAGCAAAAGAGAACTTCAATTGGGTACCAAAAAGTTTCCATAGGGTCTTCCAAAAGTAACTAACAAACTTGACATCTCTATCAGATACGATAGTGGTAGGTAACCCATGTAGACGTACAATCTCCTTGAAGAACAACTTTGCCAGATGTGAAGCATCTGTAGTTTTGCTACAAGGAATAAAGTGAGCCATCTTTGAAAACCTGTTCACAACAACTAATACAGAGTCATGACCTCTAGCTGTGCGAGGCAATCCTAAGACAAAATCCATACTCAAGTCTTTCCAAGGTGCCTCGGGAATCGGCAAAGGAGTATACCAACCGGTATTCTGTCGCCTGGCTTTAGAAGTTTGACAATTTCGACATTGAGACACTATGCGAGCCACATCACGCTTGAGTGAAGGCCAGTAGAACCTATCTTCGACTAATGCCATCGTCTTATTAACCTCGAAATGACTAGCTAAACCTCCAGCGTGTAATTCCCATATAAGAAAATCTCGCATAGAAGTACGTGGGATGCACAGTTTGCTCCCACGAAAGAGATGACCGTCTTTAATGATGAAATCAACATGCTCATGACGATTATCACTGCGAACTTCTTGGTATATTATCCCAAAATCTGGACATGAAGCATAGTCGTCCTTCAAGTTTTCAAAACCAACAACACTAACGCTCATAGTGTGCAACAAGTTGATCCGACGGCTCAAGGCATCAGCCACTATGTTTTCTGTTCCTGAACGATGCTTGACCACAAAAGTGAATCCCTGAATATACTCAACCCATTTAGCATGTTTAGCATTTAAGTGCCGCTGAGAGTTGATAAACCTAAGCGCCTGATGATCAGAGTATAGAACAAATTGTTGCGGAAGAAGGTAGTACTTCCAATGCTCAAGGGATCTCACAATCGCATAAAATTCCTTATCATAAGTGGAGTACTTTTGTTTGGCATCATTGAGCTTTTCGCTGAAGAAAGCCACAGGGTGACCTTCTTGGCTTAGTACACCTCCGATTCCTGTCCCAGACGCATCACAAGCAACTTCGAAACACTTTGTAAAATCAGGTAAAGACAAGACTGGAGCTTGAGAAAGCTTCTTAATATCTTGAAAAGCCATGGAAGCTGTAGATGTCCACTGAAACTTGTCTTGTTTTAAGCAATCAGTGATAAGAGCCATAATGGTACTGAAGTTTCTAATGAAGCGTCTATAGAAAGAAGCAAGGCCATGAAAACTCCGTACTTCATGAAGAGATTGTGGCTCAGGCCATTCTTGAATGGCTTGGACTTTCTCAGGGTCAGCTGCTAAACCCCTTTCAGAAACTATGAAACCTAAGAAGATGACTTGATTTTGAAGAAATGAACACTTAGGCAAGTTAACATAAAACTGTTCTTGACGCAAGGTGAGAAAAATTAACTCGAGATGTCCCAAGTGTTCTTCTCTTGACTTGCTAGTATGTCATCAAAGTATACCACCAAAAACTTTCCCAAGTAAGAGCGAAGGAGGTGAGTCATTACTCTCATAAATGTACTTGGTGCATTTGATAACCCAAAAGGCATGACAAGCCATTCAAACAACCCATCTTGCGTTTTAAAAGCAGTCTTCCACTCATTCCAGGCCTAATCCTGATCTGATGATAACCACTTCTAAGGTCAATCTTTGAAAACTAGCTAGATCCAGACACTAAATCAAGCATGTCATCAAGTCTAGGAATGGGAAACCTATACTTGATGGTGATCTTGTTGATGGCTCTGCTGTCTACACACATTCTCCAAGAGCCGTCTTTCTTTGGGGTTAAAAGAGCAGGTACTGCACAAGGACTCATACTATGCTGGATATAACCCTTTTCCAACAATCCACTGACTTGTTGGTTAAGCTCTGCTCTATCTTTAGGGTTCATCCTGTAGTGCGGTAGATTGGGGAGTTGTGAACCTGGAATGAAATCAATTGCATGTTGGATCTCTCTCATTGGTGGTAATTCAGATGGAAGCTCATCGGGAGTGATATCCCGAAATTGTTGTAAGAGCTGTTGCACTTCCTCTGGCATTTTTGAAGTAGTAGCAATTCGTTGCGAGATCTTGGATACCAAAATAAACACGATCGTACTCTCTCTGCTTTCTTGTACAAATTGTTTTTCTGTCAGAAGATGCAAATTGTGGGTTTTGGGTTTTGTGCCCTTTGATTTACTTGAGCCTTTGCCTTCGTTGTCAGGCTTAGCAGGACGTAACAGGATCGTCTTGCCTCCATGCTTAAATGTATAGGTATTCTCACGACCATGATTGATAACATTGTGGTCATAAAGCCACGGTCGGCCAAGTAAAATGTGAGCAACATCCATTGGAAGAACATCACAAATAATTTATAGTCACCTAAGTGAAGAGGAACGCGACATTGTTGCGTGACTGGTAAAGTTTTTGTCGACCCATGCAACACGAAAAGGTTCTGGGTGAGGTTCTGTCTTGAGATTGAGTCGGGCTACTCCTTGACTAGAAATAACGTTTCTAGAACTCCCTCCATCAATCACCAATTTGCAAGCTTTATCTCCACACTTCACAAAAGTATGGAAAATACTTGTTCGCTTCCATGAATCACTAGGCAGAGGGACAGATAGAATGCATCGCATAACTCCAACTCGACGTGTCTCACACCCATGTTCATCAATGATGATGTCCTCATCGACATCTGAAGGACACTCAACTGGATCTACGACAACGTCAGCATTTGCATTGTCTTCCTCACCTTCATATTGAGTCAATAACTAGAGTACGCTGTGGGCATTTTGACGCAATATGACCCTTTGAGTGACAGCGAAAACACTCGACAAAGGAATTGTTATGGCGGGAAGCAGGAACTATAGCCTCACTAGGCTGCTTAGAAGTATTACCCCTTAACCCAATTGCTTGAGTAGGTGTAAAAGACGAGCTAGGCCTAGATGTAAGTGTTCCTGTTGGTCGTTCAGACATACTGGAAGTTCGTGCTTGTCTAAACAGATTGCTCTGCATGTCGATACGCTTTGCAGACGAGTACTGTGACAGAGACTCTACTTCTAAAGTCTTATGATCAAGAGACTCTGGAAAGTTTAACTTGAGCTCCTTCTGTAGATATGGCTTGAGACCATTAACAAACTTGGTAATGATGCGCCATTCCTCTTCATCCACGTCACATCTAATCATAAGGTCATCGAATTGAGAAATATACTCGGAAGCTGTGGAGATTTGCCTCAAATTAAGGTATTTGTCATACAGTTGACTCTTATAATGAGTCGGCACATATTTTTCTTTCAGCTTGGCCTTCATTTCATCCCACGTCTCAATCGGTGGATAACCTTGTCGCTCAATGTTCCTTTGGACATTTTGCCAATATTTCCTAGCAGATCCCACGAGCTTCATCTTCGTAAACCGAACTCGCTGAATATCTCTCATGTCATACCATTCAAAATAGTCTTCCATGCTAGCTAACCAATCCAGGAATGCACTAGGATTCAATCGTCCATCAAACTCAGGAGCTTCAACTTTAACCTTTTTGGTGATGTCATCAATATGTGTCCTTCTAAAGCCTTCTCTACCATTCCTATGGACTAACTGGTATGGTCTATGATGTTGTTCTTCAGGCCCTTGCCCATCCCAAGTATCATCTATGTCATCAGAATGATGATTGGTAAATTCATGAGGAAATGTTCTACTGTGTCTTTCACCCATAGCTCTAGAGGAATGACCAATCCTAAGGGAATTACCTCTAAGTAGATTGTGGACTGGGAATTGTTCATTTTTAAGACTTGACTCTCCTCTAATGATAGGTCTTTCGAGTATCCCTTCAGTTGTTTTCCTTGTATCTTGTCTGTATGTCAACTGAATTGCACCCATTATCTCTTTAAATTTATTGTTAATTTCATCTAGCCGCTGGTCCACATATGCCCTTTGAGTCCTTTCAGATTCCTCAAGATGATTTTGGGTGATTTGGGAGTTATTTTAGGGCAGTAATTTCTTGGTCTAATAAAGCTTGCTTATCGTATAAATCACGAATGGTCATACAATGACAAAGATGGTATGGTAAAGTGCAAGTTTGGTGTGGATTTAATAACCTAAGGAAGAAAGGCCCCCAAGTTGCCCTTACCTAAATAGGTGAAGTCCTTTCTTTAACAACACTAACCCTCTGAGAATTCAAAAATTCCACAGGGATCGTATGCTAAATAGGTAACAACTCGAGTGAAGTCTTCACAGAAATTTCCGAAGGTTCAAAAACCTTTCAGGAAAACCGTTAGAAACTTCAATTAATCTAGGGTAATTTTTGGACACGAGTATAGGGCAGGATTGTGTGTGAGGTAGGTGTCTTAGGTTATACGAACACTGCTATCAAAAGTCACAAATTAACAACATAATGATCAATGTAAATTTTCCTTTTTTTTTATATATATATTTATATATTTTCAAAATATTAAAACATGATTAAAAAAAATAAAAATAAAATAAAAATTGCAATGCTCAAAGAAACCAAAGTACCACACAACAAAGATTTCAGAACTAGCTATGAATGAAACACCTCCCTTTAAGAACCAAGTAAGCCAGTTAAATGAAAGGGTCGTCGGCCTTACCAGCGTTGCTTTAGGAGCTCAAAACAAAAAGTTTTACCCCCAAA